TCATAGAGACAAATGTTTTTGAAATTTCATGTCTTCTTTGTATATCGTTTTGTTTTGTAATTTTATGTAACTATTTGGTGTAAGGACAATAAACTGATTATCTATCTATCTATCTATCTATCTATCTATCTATCTATCTATCTATCTGGTCTCGGACTCCGTGAGAATTCTCGCCCTAAACTGTGGATCAGCTAGAAACCTCCTAATAAAAAGTTTCAATCATTTCAAATTAACAAAAGAATATTAGGAAGTAATAATCTACAACGATCTCAGCAAGTATTCTGTACACAAACGCAAGATTTGCAAATATTATTCTAGCATTTGGTACATTCTTAACTTGATAAATATAACATATTTTTGTTCAGAAAGTTGGCCGTGTGGTCTAGTAGTATGATACTCGCTTTGGGCGTTTACGAACTTGCGAGTGGTCCAGGGTTCAATTCCCTGCTCGGCCCAAATTTCTTTTTTATTTTTATTTTATCAAATATGCTTTGTGCTTTATTGCTTACGATTATCACTAAATGCCAAGTCCATTCTTTTGACTGTATAATTTATTATTATGCCAAGGTTTATTCAACACGTTTTGGGCTGCATGGACGTGTTTACTTCAGTTTTTTGTCGTCATTTGCACCACCAAAATTTTTGATAAAACAACAGCTTCATTCCTTTATCTCTTTATCCCCTTCAAATCGTCATTGTTTATATAATATACATCGACGCCACCACCACCAACATCTCCATTATTCACACGGACTTTTGCAATCATGGGTTTCCTTTCAGATAAACCATACACCGCGGTTACCCAAACAATTGAGCGCCTAACAGAGGAAAACTACAGCGAAGATGACTTTAGCGAGATCGTTGACCTGGTAGATATCATCAGAATCAGAGCTACAGGGTAAGAGGCCTTATGTGTGATGATATACTCTTTTTTCGTCATGCTAATCTTTGTTTTTTCCAGCCCAACAGAAGCGGCAAGAGCAATCAGAAAGAAGCTAAAGTACGGCACTCCTGGCCGACAATTGAGAGCTCTGAACGTAAGTTGACTACTACGATCCCAATTTGCCTTAGGGGGCATCTGTACCGCTTTAACTGGTTCTAATATCCTTTTTTTTTTGAAGATTCTTGAAGCGCTTGTTCTCAATGGCGGTAAAGCCCTTACACGTATGTAACCAACCGATGATTATCCATATTTTACCCGCTAACTCCAATCCCCAGCTCTCTATTGTGACGAGTACCTGCTCGAGCGCCTGAGAATCTTGGCTACTGACAGCCAAACTACGCCTGCGGTCAGAAAGAAGGTTCAAGGCTTGTTTGTGGGATGGTCTCAGGACCTCCAGGGCCAGCGCGGCTACGAACGCCTGGTTGAGCTGTACAAGCAGCTACCCCAGCGCGCGCGCAGATCCCGCCCCCAACCCAAGTATCTCTCGAATGACCCGCACGAGTTGGAAGATGATGAAGGTGAATCATCATCTCCCAGCATCGGCCCCTCCAGCAGCAGCCATTCTCGCAGCAATACGGCCAGCGGTAGTGGTAACAGAAGCAGATCAAACACTGTTGATGACCATTATGTTAACAAGAAAAAGACCAAGAAGACTTCCAAGCCCGCACCCGCACCTTTGCCCCGTATTGATCTGGCCAAGGAGCGACCCAAGATTCAGCAAACTCTGGCCGAAGCTAGCAGTGCTGCTACAAATCTGATAAACGCGCTGCGGTTGATTAACTGGGAGGAAGAGCTTTCCACTGAGAATAAAAAGGCTACCGAATGGTTCAACAAGTGTCGGCGCTTACGCAAGCAGGTGCTCCGCTACATCCACAGCATTGAAAGCGAGGAGTTTATTGGCTCATTATTGCATACCAACGAGGAGCTTATCCAGGCTCTGCAAAAATATGACAAGATGAGTCAAGCACCTGATGAGGATTCTGATTCAGACTATGAAAATGACGATTGGAAAGTTGACTCGGGCATGCGCAAACTTAACATCAACGATAGAAGAAAGAATAGGGATGAGAGTGATAGCGAGTCAGATCAGTCAGATGATGAAGAGGACGACGATAACCCATTCGGTGACGCAAACAAAATTGACAACCCAGTAGATGAACGTGCCTACATTAAATACTAGTGATGGATTTAACCGGGTTATACAACATTAATATGTACTTATCTATCCCCAGTTTTGTCCACTTGTATACATTCTTCATCAAGTAGGAGAAATGTTCATTGATCCGTGCAATGCGCTTCAAATATACCAGTAGACCATTTCCTCAGAAAGCCCATGTATTGTAACTTACATGAATTGTTAGTATCATGTATTTTTTGGTATCTAGAATATTTCATCACTAGACTTTAAACCTTCTAACTATCTTCTTTTCCCTAGTGCTTATGTTTTTTCTTTTTATCTAGGTCTTCACGGACCTTGTCCAAGCGCTTCCTAACACGGTCAAGTTTCAGCTGGTTGCTGCGCTGGCGGAGCTCGTATTTGGCGTCATCCCAGACCACCGGATGAAGCCCTTGTTCAGGCCGATCAACGACTTCGTCAAGCCACTTTTGTAAAGATCGATAGTATTCTACGTCGCGGGGGAATTTCAAGCAGTGGAAGGCCTGCCCATGCACCGCAGCAGCGTCGTCGGTTCCGCGCTCCCTGGCGACCTCCTGCTCACGCTCACGCTCAGCCGCACGCATCGCCTCCACGGACGGCAGCGACAGCCGGCCCGAATAAATCCTGGCGAGCACAGCCCCCTGCGATTCTGCCAACGGGAAAGGAACCGTTAGTTTTGTCATCACCATCACCGCCAGTGTTGGATCCGGGTAATAGACTAATTGGCGGTAAAGTCGGTAAAGTCGGTTATTTCCTTTTGCCTCTGAATGGTACTGCACAAGGTAGTCGCTGTCATGGCTCTTAGCACCAGCAGAAGATGCGGGCTCAACGTAGGATTTCAGGAATGGAAAGGCGTATAGATACCCTGTACAGTATAGCACGTGGTCCAAATCACGGCCAAGGACTAGGCTGGTACCGTCAGTAAAGATAATTTCGCCGGTGCTGGCGCGGTACTCGCTAATCAGCGGGCGGTCCTCAACGCGTGGATCCTGTACACTTTTGTCCACCGGCGGCGATGAAGCGCCGCTCCATGAGCGGTAAACCTGAAGCGCGCCACCGCCAGCAATCTCTGATGCAATGTCGAACCCTGACGCCGAGTTGCCCACAATTAATACGCGCTTGCCCGCATACGCCTCTGGCACCGAAAAGGCCTTGGCGTGTGCCACCACACCCTCATGCGCCGCGGCAAAGTCATGTAGCCCCGGGACATCGGGGATGTAGGGTATGTCGTAATGGCCTGTGGCTAGCACCAGCGCATCAAATTGCTCAACCTTAATAGCCGCGCTGCCTTGCTTGTCATCAAGCTGCCGATAGGTTACGACCCAGCTGGGCCCCTCCTTGTGCGCATCAATGACTTCACTGCGCAGCCGTACTAGCGGCTCCACATCGTGGCCATATGCCCGCACGTAGTCACGCACCTCACGGCCCGAGGGGAAAAGATCAGTGTCTGGGAGGAAGGGTGTATTAGCAAAATGCATCACGTTCGTGGGGATGTTGGTTTCGAGGTCGCGGTACATGGCGTTGTACCAGTCATTGTCGCTGTCAGAGGAGTCAGGCAGAAGCGGATTGGCCGCAGGGATCTGGGTGGCCGGATACCCATCGGTGGCAGGCTTTTTCTCCGGCGCGTAGTTCCAAACGCCGCCAATGGAATCCTGGCGTTCAAATAGTGTGACACGGAAATAGGGCTCAGATGGATCCAAGGAGTTAGAAGCAGAGAGTGGGGCAGGCTCCTTGAGCAGGGCATGGGCTACAGCAAGCCCCGATGGCCCAGCACCAATGATTCCAACTGACCGCACGGGCTTTTCGAATTGAAATGGTAATGGTAATGTCATGGTACTACTGCGAATGTATATCTGGAGATGGGCTGTTTGAAAAAATGAGTGTTTTGGATACAGACAAAATTCCCTGATAGTACACTGTTAATGAAAAATAGGTTTTGGGAAAGGCAAGTGCAAAAAAAGAAAAAAAAAAAAAAAAAAAAAAAAAAAAAACCTAGAGCATTGGGTCGCTAGTATTTATACCAAGACAATGGTTAAACTGCTATCTATTCCGGAAGTTAGTATCCATAGGCGAGCGTCCTGTGATTAGAAACTTGGTGAGTACCAGTTGATACTCTAAAAGAATCGCGATAAAGGTCCTGAGTGACGTGCAGGTTTAAAAAAAAAATAAGCTCATAACTTTTAGCGAAATCAAAATCTACTGGATCGTTGGGCCAGAATAATTGTCTATCTTCTCAAAGAACCCCAAGGCTTTGGCTCACCAGACCTGATTCCAAATAGCAGACCTATGTAATTGATATGAAGCTGTCAAGTTCTATTCTTCGGCCATAACAATCATTGCTCCGACCACAACCAGTAAAACCCCCAATTAAGATTGGAGGTGGAGAGCCTGCAGTCAATTCTCGTACCTGCCGAAAAGGGCACTTCTATGATGGTGCAATTCGGTGTTCAAAGCAAAGGATTCGGGGCGGTAAATATAAACGGTATTTACAGTACAGGTTTGTCTAGCCGATGTAGACATTGCCAAAAGAGTCTCAAGTACCAAGGCTGATATTAGAGGTATGTTTGCCCCTGAGGGCTATGTATATCAATACTTTTCAATATTCCAGCAAACCTGTGAACTGATTGTTTCTTCCTTTTTACGATTGAGTTAATTACATTATTTATTTCAATTGAATGCAATGAAAAGCCATGTAAACGCATCATGAGCAGTGCATAAGCTCCATGTTGTATATTCTATATCACCAAATACTTACGTAATGTTTATGTGCTGGGTTAGTAACAGTATTGACCAATAACATTGCTTAATTTCATTTTCATTTTCACCTCCGGTGTCCCTTTGATGCCTTTGGTAGAACCAGCCAGGCGCGTGAAATAAAAAAGACCTGGCCATCGCTAAACTTGTCCAATCTAAAAAGTTTCGACCCAAAAAAAAACAAAAAAAGGATCACACTATTATTTCTAATCCCAGCTCATTCCTTTTCCCTTTCCCACCTTCACACTATCATCAATTACCATGTCGCCGCCCTCGAAATACGCGTTTCCCAGAATCCTGAAGGAGCTCCGGTTTCATCTTTCTCAGACCGGAGAAGCCTCTGTGCCATTACGGTAGGTTGTCCAGCTGGTTCCTTTCAAAAGTACGACTTGGTGTTCATATATCCCAAGTCGACCTGAAGGTTCAGTACGTGTTTTTTTGTCATTTGGAATCTAGGGCACTAACATTGAGAGTTTTTCAATTAATGTAGAAAGTTTCTTAACCGCGCTTACCCTGTCATGAAGAAGCATAACCCGGCCACGCCGGTGTTGGTCCGGGAGGCCTTTGGTGTGCGGCCAACTGTCTTTGCGCGTTTTGGTACG